ATAAAACCATCGCATTATTTTACTTAAAGCGAGAACAATTTTGGTTGTTGTTGTCTTGTTGTTGTTGTTCTTCTTTTTCTCATAATAGTTTATGAAATGTGCGTACGTTGACTGTGTCAAATGTGAACATTCCGTTGGCCCATTTATTATAAGCGATGATCGTGCGGTTACACAACGTACAATGGCAAAATAAATAAATTTCATCATTGCGGCAGATCTCAAAATGAGGTGAACTATACTGTTGTATTTGATGCTTATGTTATCATGATAATCACCTAATTTCATCACTCACTTGTACAGTTTAACATCACCACCATCACCACTACCACATTACAGAAGTGGCCATACACACGACATGTGTACGTGTAAAGCTCAAAACCACCGGCTTAAAAATCAACATCAATACAACATCCAGAATACTATACTGGTGTTGGCATGTATTTTACAGACACGCCAACTGATGAGGTTACCCATTGATCTTTCTATCGTTCTAAGAATAAGATTATCATTCTTCGTCCTCTTTTCCTTCTTGGCTGGCTTATCTCTCTCTCTCTCTCTCTCTCTCTCTCTCTATTCATCCCACTCTGTATTCACGAAACAAGATTTAAATGACAGAACGTTTTTCATTTCGATGTGCATGAATATAGGCATTAAAGATGTTAAAGAATGAATTTAAGGTCGAATCAACGAGAAAAAAAATGTATCCTAACTATCTACTTACACCGCCAATTTTTACTATGGATTTTCTCTTCTTCGAGTCCTCGTCTTTCTTCACTACACGTCTAATGCTAAACTAATGATTGTTCTTGTTTCAAGTGAAATGTTTCACATTTTCCCTGTGCAATTTCAATTTTCAGTATTTTCAATATATAATAGTATACAATATACATACTAGTATATGTAATGTTTTCATTCACGTTTTTGCGATTTTGAGATGTTCGTTTCCGATGTTTCTACGCTGGTTGTGGGTATACAGTTTGTTCTCATTTCATTCATTAACCAACCACCCATCATATTTGTTGTGCCAGAGGAAAACATTGTTCGAGTCTCACCTCCCTCAATCAATTTTCGGCTGCCACGTTTTATTTTTTATTTTTATTTTTTTTCATTATGCTTACGTGTGTAATTTCTCAACCAGACAATGGAAAAAGAGATTAATGGAACGTGCAAACACAGCACGTATCAAGAGTTTTTTCGGGTATCGTTTCGGTCATTCACAGCACACCGTAGCAAATGTGCAAATGTTGGCGAATGATGCGATGCTGGAATAATTGTGAAGTGTAGATGATTAATCATAATTACGCATATATAACATATTACTTTGTTTAAGGTAGTGCCAGGAATACTGGACGAATATTGCTTTGTACGTAATTGGGTTGTTTTGCGTGATCTAATGCCGAAATGTGCATACATAATTCATATATGAAACATTTATAAATGTAGGTTGAATGCCCACATACTATAATCACAATAATATTAAATTATACGGTCGTATGAATATGCTGATTGCATACTATGCATGCAAGTGAGTGCGCGAAATGGACATTCAGTGTGGCCACATGAATTTGAAATGCAATAAATGTAAATGCAACATCACACTACTTGTCGCTTTCGTTGTTCTCTGATTATCAGGAAAATGCAAAAAATATATTATCGTTTGCCAATCGACGGCAGCAAGCCGTATTGAGATGAATGCCGAGTCGATAGTTATGTAATATATTTTGTGTATGAAAGTGAAGAGCCTTGAACTTGCTTCCATAGAGATGATTTAATGAATTTTCAATTATAATTTGGGTTGTTCAAGTGTTTTATAAATGTGCTTGACCGAAGTGTCGATGCGGAATCTCTCATCGTATCGAAATGAGATATATTTCTCTTGCCGTCTCTTATAAGGACCTCATTCATGTTAAAACTTCAGTTGTTTGTACAAAACTTGAGGAAAAATTAAATTATGTCATTTGGTTTTGTTCATTCTCTATCTCCATACTATTGAAAAAGTCGAGTAATTTTAATTCACGTTTTGATTCTGTTTGTGACTCAGACCAGTACACTAACTTTGTTAAAATATCACGCTTGAGTTCAACCAAACAAAAAAATGCCTCTGCGCTACACACGTTTGATGAGAATATGTTTCATATGTTATTTTTTCTGCACTATTTTCTTTTCGTTCTCAAGTTTATACATTCCCATTGGATATTGTGGTAATAAAAATAAAATTAATGACAATTGGATGATAGTGCTATTTGACATGAATGATTTTCATTTAGCCGCCTGGTCATAATACAAATAAAAAAAAAAAAATCATACATAAATATTACATAGTAGGGCAGAGATGTGTTTTGAAGCTGAAAGAGTAGTAGTATAGGCAACCAAATGCAATTCAAGTGTCAGACAAAATGAAAAATGATGACAATTATCTATCATAAAGAATGAACGTGAACTAAAAGATATATAGAACTGAAAGAGATAGAGAGGCGGACAACGATAGAGAAAATAAAAGAGTGGAAAAAACGGTGAAAATTTATGCGGCCAAACTTATACACAAACGAACGAAATCATTTATTCTTCAGTTGATTGCAAATTATTCGAATGAAATGCGATTACAATGGGACATTATCGAATGACATTCGTCATCATTTGTGTGACCATATGCACAATCGAAATCTCCATCCATTGCGTTGATTATTTTTCAAATATTGCAATAATCGAAAGCTCACAATAAACCATTCGAAATTGGAATCGCCACCGCCAATAGAAAAAATGGGAAATGAGATATCACCACAACCAGCAAATGTATATCCATCCGATTCTGATGAATGGCGGACACCATATGCGGAACAAACACGACAAGTGATAATGAACGACCGCCCATAATCGTTACCATTTCTTTTCTTTGTACATCGTTTTTTTTTTGCCGCTTCACTATCTAATAATTCATTCATTTGTCGTCGTCGATGGCGATAGTGGCAAAATGAAGTAGCGTCATCATGAGCGTCATCGTTCTTCTTGTTGACTTTTTTTTAGTTGATTATCATCTCTGTGTCTCCGAGGTTTTGAAAATAGAACTATTCTCACAATACCGCACATAAGGATTTCGTAACTTGTTGATTTACACATATACATATATATTATAATTGGAAAATGGTAGAAAAAAACAAAACAAATTGAGAAAGGAAACAATATTGTATTCGAACCAATCATGAACATAGAAAGATACATGTTAAAAAGTAAAATATATGGTCATAGACAGAGTAATAATATTACCATAGACAGAGAATGTGTGTAGTTTTGTCTGTTGCTTCCATTGAAGCGGAAACATTAATTTTAAAAAGATGGTTCGTACATGCATCTCTTCATCTTATAGTGAGTTCAATCGTAACAGCTCTCAAAATCTAATAAACTTTCATTTTTTTTGGAATATTTCATTAACGAAACATTAAAATAAATATTTTTTTAAATTGGAAAATTAAAATAAAATTCCATTTCTAAAACTTGATCACTGCTATAAATCTTCTGATTATTTCATCAGTTACGAAATATGTTCGAAAAAAGTGCATTGTGGTCATAAAACACCAGATGGACGTATCGTTACAGTCGATCCGGAATCTTATGGTTTCCCACACAAGAAAAGTATGTGTCCTTTTTCAAACTCACTAACAGACAACACTTTTCGTTTTTATCATTCGATTACGCAGCGTTCATTTCATATTTTCCAATTCAGCATGGAATTCTGACTCTTAATTTCTTGTTGCACAATTTGTATACTGTTGATGTGAGTGTGTGTGTGTATGTCTTTTTTGTGTGTTTATTTCACATTAATTAGATTGGTATGTCAGCAAGTGTAAATACTTATTTCAAGTGTTTTTGAAGAGTTTTTAGACATGAAACATGCATGCTCGAGTTGTATTTAAATATTATTTCATTAAATAATTCATGTTTTTTTCTATCTTGCAGAATTTTCTTTTGTTATATAATAACATTCATTTCAGTTCCATCATATGTTTGTGTATTAAATACATAAATAAACCGATTAATATGCTACATAAACATTCTGTTCATTTGCTTTGCTCATATTTGTTTGTTCCATGTTTTGGTTTGCGTGTTTTGGTTTGTTTCTGTGGTATTTTCCCCCTCATTTATACAACTTTTGAATTGATGATTTCAAAGTGTACGTCTTGTCAGTTTTAAATCCAGCTTATATATGTATATTATATATATATATATATATTTTTTAAATTTTTAATTCGAAATATGTTTTTTGTGGATTTTTTATTCGGTAAATGTTTCATTCGTAGAAAAGTGTACAAAAAAGAGAACGAAACAGATGTATAGGTATCAAAAATGAAGAGAAGGCATTCAAAATATGATATTAAAATAGTCAATATTTCATATGAGAAAAATAACAGTCAAATGAATGGGTGAGTAATGTAAACATCACAACGATGCAGCAAATGGTGAAGAGATGGGATGCATTTTTATGTAGTTTGAATTATCAGCTGTATTCTATATATACACTGTAGGAAAGTTATACAAAATTCGGTATAGTGCGTGCGTATAAATAATCCAGTGGCCAGACATACTTTCGTCGTTCTTTATGTTAATCTATTCTTAAATCTGTGAATCTTTGCCTTTCAACAACAGTACGAATTTACATATGGCCTCCGGTTTTTTTCTATGCGTAAAACCGTATAAATGCACGTATCATGCCGATTTTTGTATTATTTTAAATGGTTTCTTTCTTAAAGTGTAGATGTCTTTTTTTTGTTAGTATTTCTTTTTCGATACGTTGGCTGTGCTGGCTAAATCAAGATGAAAAAAAAAATACAAGATATGTGCAAATAATTTTCCAGAATGACTGTAACGTGGAAACTTTGTTGTTATTCAAAATTACAAGAACAAAATAAATAAAAGGGAATATCCATTGGTTTGATTGGTTTTGCCGTTTAATGCCGGCACATACATTTAAAATAGACGAAAACTTTGCACATGCAAAATTTGTGTTTGTTTGATAGGAAGAGAATGTTTTATTTTAATTGGACAGCAGACAATAGGACATAGTGACTTAAAAGAGACAGATCTTTTTTTGTTTTTTTTTTTACTTTTTTTTCATTTATCTATATTTTTTAAGTGTGTGTGTGTGTTTTTGTGTGTGAGTGACATAAATGCTTGAAAGCTTTGGGATAATTGATGTTGAATGAAAATGACTTTGTTTCTGTTTGATGATTGTTCTTCCACATTTAAGTAAAGTTTGTTGTTATGTGTGACTTGTTTCTTTCTCCTTTTTCTTCCTTTTTTTCAAGTTCGAATCTTATTACAATTATCGTAAATATAATTTAAATATTATCTTTAAGTTTTGTCTGTTTATTTGTATAGCTATCCCATTCAACTAAGTTAGAAATAGCCGTAAATTGTACGTAAAAATCGAATGGTGCGCAAAAGTAGTATAGATTTACCCTATAATTTGTTTTCTCACTTTTTTTCATCAATTTTTTTATTTGTTTTTTTTTTTTCTCATACTGTGTTGTTTAATTAGTTTTGGTACTTAATTCAACTAAAGTTCCTCTTCACTTTTACAAATAGTTTCATTTTGCATCATTTTTTGTTCAGTTTAACGCGAAAATAGAATTCTTAGTTGTGTATGTGTGTGTGTTTTTTTTTTTTTGTTAAATTATTTTTACAAATATTCATGCAATAGGATTTCGCATGAAGAAGTGGCTTTCGTTTTTGGTTGCTTCAAGTGCCCGTGCGATGACGAGCAAAGGGTGAAGTGAATTAAAATGCAGTGTCAGACAGCAACCAGTTGTGGTTGTATGCGACTGAACAGTATATTTCTACGATAAATTTATGTAGAATAGCACATTTGGCTGGGATTCGTGGCATTCAGTGTACGTTCGAAAGTTATCAATGCACAAAAAACGCCATCTCAACTCTCAGAGTAAATGCGGTTCATCATGCCACCCAATTCCGATAATCTATTCTGACCTCTTTTCATATATATATAGATTTTTTTATAATTTAATTCAATTTTTAAATCTAAATATGCATATAAAAAAAGAGAAGACGATGTCTTGTTGAAATAAAGCAAATATGAATTTTTCTTTAATATAATATTTGTTTCTGTGTAAATTGTTTTATTTATTTTAAATCATTTGTTTTACAGTTTACGTGTGACGTTTAAAAAGAGTTAGTCGAAATGCTTCTTAATCAAAGCTGATTTTTTGGTTTGTTTTTTTTTTTTTTTTTTGGTTTTTTCGGTACATAATTGATTGAAAGTTTTATTTAATATTAAATAGGGGATTGTTTCATTTGTTTTTAAAAATCGAAATAAAATGGAGTCCATTTCGACTAGTTGTGATAATAGCACATCGAAACCGAAAGAAAACGCGTATTTTGCTCTCGAAGCTTTTATTCATTATGTACATTTTTCTGTGTTTTTTTTGTTTGTTTGTTTTGTTTTTAAATTCAGAAATGATACAAAATACCGAACAGCAGTCGCGCGTCATGTTTCCATTGATTTGTTTCACGTTTGCGATGTTGTCATTAATTGGTTCGTTCATTGATTTAAGTTAAAAATATTTGAGAAAAAACACATTTATTTTTTTAAATATTTTTTTTTAGAAATAAAAATGTGTACAAGCGACAGATGTATCAAATGATTGACATGCCAAAATAAGTGCATGTTAATCGAGCTCATTGATTGGTCTAAAAAACTTTGTTGTTGATGATGTTTGTTGTTTTTGTTGTAGTTGCTGTGTGTACGTGTGTGTTTGTGTTTATGTGCAAATGTGTGGTATGTCCGATTGTACGATAAACGAAACAAAACACCAACAAGCAAGCAAACAACACACCGAGCACACAAGCTAAAGTGTCAATGTTTCGTATTCGTTAATCGTTCACTGTAACAATCAATCAGATATAGCGCACAGTGCATTTTGCTAAATTACTCACCATTAAGAAAAATATTCAATAAAACTTTGATTTCTTATTAATGTTTTTGTTCGCATAGAAATTCTACATGAATAAATGGTTTCTTGTGTCCCTCAGGTTAATATAATCTATTTGATAAATTCTTGGTTTTCTTGTTCACTTTCTTCTAAAACCGGTTGATAAACGAAATGCATGTTGAAAATCAGTATACGGAATGTTGTATTTTTGGTAGAAATGGAAACTCGTGTTTGAAAAGTTAAACCAAAAAAAACCCACACACATCCGTTCATAAAATTTAAATTGTACGAGAGAACTGTCATGAACTGTGCATAAATGCACATTCAATTATACTTCATCATGTGTGCATTTTATGTATGTTTTCATACAAAACTATGGACAGTTCTTTCTCCGTCGAATACGTGTGAGTGTTTTTTGATCATTCTGTTGTTTTTGTTGTTGTTGTTGTTGTTTTTTTTTTCATCGGATGAAGAGCGTGAAATGCTCGAAATGAATATACGAGATTTTTGTCGCTTTAAAGTGAGTGTGACCCGATCTCATCAAGTTAAATATTTGCATATATTGCAAAAGTAAAATTGCTCGTGGAAATTGTATAACAAAAAGAGATAAATGTGCAACAAAATTAAGTTGTCACACAGCGGGCATACAACACACAAAACCCGGCAACACACAAAATGCATTGCAAATGATTAAATCGCCAGTTTTCACGCTCACTCGTTTTGTCATTTGTTTGCATTCCAGTTTGCGTTATTTTTTTTTATACATTTCAACCTAACAAATTGTTTCCATTATTCATGCTCTACTGGAATTGTAGAATGTTTCGTTTGTTTGCTTGCTGATTTGCTTGATTGTTTTATTGTTTCAATTTTAATTCATTACTCTTAATTAGACTTTAATTATTTGTATGTTAATATTCCATAGATTGTGTGTAATTATTTCCGTTTATAATAAATACTTTAAGGTAGATGTGATTCAAATAGAGATTTCTTGCTAGTTCGTTCGGTAACTCTCAGTTGATTGACTGATTATCTTCTTTCCACTGATGGATCAACGGTTCTTTTTTTGCTTGTGCATTTCTGCTGTCTCATAGTATGGCTGAGTAGCAGCGCATCCATTGATTTGTGTGTGTTTTTTTTGCATCATTGAAATGTATTTTTTTATTGTACGTGTGTTTATTCTTAAGTAAAAGTTTTCGGAGTAATATAAACATCCTAGCTAATTCATTGCAGGCGGACGGCCGATTATCCGTGCGCGCGAGCTTTTTTTAGGCCCCTCGTGTATGAGGGAAAGTAATGCAATGAGTTCAATACTTTGAAGAGAAAAAAAAAAGATCGAAAAATGTAAAAGAAATGGGCATTGTTAAATGCATATTGATTTAAAATGAAATGACCGAAATGTCATTATTATTGAAATGATTGTGCAAAAAGAATAAATGACGATACCAAAAGGATTATATCAAAATATAATAAAATGCTGATTTTAAGAGATTGGTTTCGCAAAAGTAGTTTCATTTAAGACATAGACATCGAGTCATCATCATATAACACAAAATATCATCGATTTTTTTTTTTGCTTTGTTTAAATATATATATGCATATTTTCTTTTCATTTTCTTCTTTTACTTTTTTTTTGTTAAATATACGTATGTGGGTGAATTTCAATGTGTGCACTGGATAGGTAGATTCATTTTTACTGTGTGGTATGTGTGTGAATTTGTTGGTGATTTTATGCAGTGAGAAATGATGGCCTAGTATTGAAAATGATTCACGGCCAAATGTTGATGAATGCGAACCGAGTGTGTGCATACAATTAATCCTACATTATCTAATCTTTTTCTTTGTTTTCATTTTTTGTTTGTTTATTTTCATTGAATATATTTCATATTAGATCGCGGTTGGTTTGTTTTCCTACACAAAAAGAAAGTTGATTTTGTTCTAACTTCATGAATTCAAAACATTTATATTATTTATATATCTCTTAAATAGATATAAGAAAGAAAGAAAGAATGAAAAAAATTGTGAGAAATCGCGATTGATTGCTTTTACAACTATATAGTATTTGAAGTGCAGGCGAGATTGACAATGAAAATAGAGCACAAACAGAACACCTATCAATGTTTATTTTCTTATTTTCCATATCATTTAAACTGTTTTTATTTTGTTGTTCATTTTGTCTTCATTCTACATGTATAAATAGTCATTTTTCTTCTATATAATTTGATAGTCTTTCACACACAACGTTGTTTTTTTTTGCTTCTTCTTCTTTTCATTCTAAACTCCCTTTTCCCTATTCATCTATTCCCAATGAGAGACGCGTTGATAGTAATTTCATGTTGGTTGTCTCTCTTTCTTGGCCTCGCACACACACACACCTCTCTCATTCAATCAACTCAAAACGGTGACGAATGAGCGCTATAATTAATCTTTTTCATGTTTTCTAATGCCACTACCAAAACTGTGCTTTTTTGTTGTTGTACTCTATTGCCTTGTGGTAATATCATTGGCTTTGATGATCGAATCATCAAATGTGTATTTTTTATCTTGTATTCTTCTAAATTTTGATTAGTACATTTTTGGCGGTTATAGTATGTTCACCATCAGAAATTTAGAAAAGACAGGGAAAAAAAGAAAGATTTGTTTAATGAAACCAAAATTATGCATAAGAAGTAAACAGAAATGTCTTTTTTATGTTTTTGAGTCGATCATTAAACGCTGCGTTTGTTTTGCAATCATATTGAAGCTGTGTAAATGAGTGTCTTGATGAGCTTTTTACCTGTGGTTAGAAAAAGATAACATAGAGAAAAAGAGAAAAGAGAGAAGAAAAAAAACAGAAATATAAATAAAAATTGGTTTTGGTCTTGTTTTTGCTTCTTCATCTAAAATTTCACTTATAGTTAAGTTGTGCCAATGTTATTTTATTGATTCAATTGCGTTGAAGAGTTTCGATTCGAGTGCACTAAACGAAAACCACTTCAATTGAATAGTGAAGCACATGTTAAAAGGATTTCCTGAGATCGGTAAATGCTTTTTCATTTGTAGTGATTTTCGTTGTACCAATGTCCCATATTGACTAAAAGTGAGATAGAAAATCATATTGTCCGCAAAAAGTGTACCATGGCAAATAGATTCTCTGTCGCAATTCGTATGGCTGTGTGTGTATATATATATTTTTTTTCACTTGTCATCGTCTCAACTTGCAACACAAAACATCGAAATCATCTTCGTTCACTTTAGCACAAAACACCAGCAGTACATTTGTGTTACATGTGAACAAACATTCGAAATGGCCAAAGTTTAAACGCACATTGATTGGTTGAAAACATTATTATATTCCACATGGTATCACTCTGTGTGACCGAATAAAATTGATCAACAACAATAATAATATTATAAATCTTCAACGATACAGTTTATACTTTGGGTCGAAATGTGTTAATATAACAACTTATTGCTGGCATTTGCAACGAGCATTTGATTGTTGGTACACAAAAACTCGATCTATCCATTAAAAATGTAATGACTAGAGAGATAGGGATATAGAGTAAAAGACTATTACGTACGACACTTATGGTGCAAGCATTTTCGATAGTTCTTCATCTTGTAAGCATCCTTTCAAAAATTCATCTTGAGTTAATTGTCCATCGTTGTTTTCATCCATTTTGGCGAATATATTTTTGGCACGCTCTTCCGCAGAGTCAGCCGGTCGGTTTGATGAACACGCGCCCAACATATCATAAATTGCCTATAATGAAAAAGAAAATGAACCACATATATATTTTAGGACGTATTATGATTATGGTTGCGTTGTACGTATTTAAATATTCAATATGTTTATAGTTTTGAATAGGGTCATTTTAGATCCAAACACTATACACTGGTCTATGTATGTCGCCTGCATTCAATTTCTCTGCGAACAACATTTCTTTATGATTTATGAGCAATGCATATGGTACAGTAGTCTCTCGGTATTTTATTCTTAACCGGTATGTACAACACTTGAATTTGTGGACTTTTTGAGAAATGCCAATCTTTAAAATTGGGACTATTTTACATTAGATGTGTGTAACCATTTTGTGTTTTGCTGGACACTATTTTTTAAACACAGACCGTTCCATCTACTTTATATAATGATCATTTATGTATAACGTGCTTTGTGTAATGACTATTTAGAATTATGGCGACTGCGAAAAACCGAGATACCCATTCATAAGCTAAGGTCCTCGGCCCAACAAATCACGTGGCACATTTTGAATGTCAAATAGCTTTTGTTCAACTAGAACTCATTTATATATATTATTAATTTATTGAAGCTTTTTTCTTTCAATTCTTCCAACTTCCAAAGATTTTTTTTGAACAACGGAAGCGCATTTCATCGTTTTATGCAATAATTTTAATTTATATTTTTCTTCATTCCCTATATGTTGTGCGATTGCTGCCAATTTTGAAAATGGTTGAACATTGAATAGCATGAAATTCAAGCAAACAATTGCATATTTAATATCGGGACACTGATATATTTTATTGCTGTAAACATATGACAGCGTGTACTGAACGCATATCGTCCAATGGCGATGAAGAGAAAAACGAATCTGAAAGCCACACAGAGAAACGACTAAACAAACAATGTCATCGTCATCATAGTCGTCGTCGTTGTTTCTATCAAATCGAAAAGATAATCAATTATAAACAAGATTATAAACATAAACAAAATGCAACTTTGTGCGATAAATTTCTGTGGTGCGGAAAGTCTGCCAATGCTATCTAAATGTATAATCAACTTTGGTTTTCGTTGCCTCTCTTTTTCCTTTCTCAATTGTTTGGATTTTTTTTTCTGTTTTATTTTGCATTGTTGTTGTCACTGCTGATAGTGGTGTTGTTTTGCCATTTTTTTCTGTTGTTCGTTTGCATTTTTCCGTTGTTATTGTGTCGCCGTAAATGGTATAGAACAATTGCTGTCATTATTTTTTTTGCGTTCAAAGGATATAAAATATATACATATATGTGATATATGATGAAAAACCAAGCGGCGCTAACGAACGGACAAGAAAAAAAGCAAACGAACGAAAGGATGAAACCGTTTTTTATTCGATTTTAATTTCGATTGTGATTAAAGACAGGCTGTGCAACATTCGATGAAACTAAAAACCATTTACTACACAAATACATATATGACAAATACCATGTCCCGGCTATAGTGTAGTAAAACTGTATTCAATTCGAAATCATTTTATATTTTGAATTGAATCCAAATAGAGAAGAGGAGACGACGTCTATACTTTTTTTGGCAAACGGTTCAGCTGAATATTATTTTTATAGCTGGCAAAAACAGAGAGGATCGAAGAATATTCATTACATAAAGTTTTTATGTTGATCGCTATTTTGTATATATTATATTCACAGAGTCAAAGTTATACATGCAATGAGCAAATGAATAAAAAAAAGTCCATGGTTGGATGAATTGACAATAAAGTCTGCTTCTGACTTGAATCGAAAATTTAAATCTAATCGTTGCAAGGGTTTCGGGAAGGAAATAAATGAATAAATAATGATATAATATATAAAGAGAAAATGTCTCTATTAGAGAAAAAAATATCATCCGCTTAAACAGATGCTTGCCAATGCGAAGCACGCGAAACTGACAACAACAACAACAACGGCGCAATGACATTTTGACGATGACCATTGAGAGTCACATATGATATGCGCATATACGGATCTGGCTAAAACTGGACCTCAAGTCAATTTACATAAAATTTCCAGTTATGACTTTTAACAACACAAATTTAACTTTAGTCAATTTCGACAAAAAAAAAACTCATCATATTCGGATGCTACAATATTTCCCCAATAAAACTTTATGCACGCAAAAAAAGCACAGATGCCTTGGTTAAACGTCTGTCTATCTATTTTCCATCCCATCTTTGTATATGTATCGCATTACATGTGAGTGAAAAGTGTCCGACACGTATTTGGGGAATGTGGCAGTGGTGTGATTCGTAGTCGCTTCAATTTTTTATAGCATTAGAGATTTTTTTTTGACGATCAACAAACTGAACTGTCCATTACGAATTCGAAGCCCAAATCTTTGAACGTAAACACATGTTCAACCATACGACCATACATATTATAAATATATTCAATACGAAAATCATCGTAAAAACCGTAGAGTACCATAAAATGGGTATTAGGGTCGTTTTGCTTACCTGGACTATTTTCGTCATTTCTTGTATGTCTATAACACCATTGCCATCAACGTCGTACATTCTAAATGCCCATTTCAGTTTTTCTTCGGGTGTACCACTTGAGGTAACATCGATCGCCAGTAGAAATTCCTGTTAATTGAGAGAAAAACACAAAAAATAGGTAAATATTTGTTGAATATATTTGTAGTTTGGGTAATTTTGATGTGGGCGATTGTTATAGTAATCTATGTGTGTGTGTCTGATGGAGAAACATAAATAAACAACAGTTTCAATGCGAAATGGCTGGTTAATTATTTTCAAATGTCGAAAATCTGCTTATTTATCCAATCATTTTGAATTGTATATTTGAGTCATTATCATTAATCAAAACAATTGACTCTCATCGATTTCCACCGAGAATGCCATCACGTAGAGACGCAAAACAATTCATGACATTTGGATGTGGGAGATGAGTGGTGGTATGGTGTTGGTGATGGTAATGGTTGGTGGAGAAAAGTTACTAAATTGCCAAATGCCACAAATTGGCTTGCAATACATACAAATGCGCTCGCATTCACACCGAGAAATTTAAATTGATTGAAAATAAACCGCAACGACACATCATTGTATGCTTTTAATATGATTCTATGCAATTTTCCGAATTTAATAGACTATCGAAAAACCAGCAGAATTTTCACACTACCTAGCTATTATTATAAGTGCCTAAATATCGGCTAAGTGGAACAATTAAAACCAAACATTAGCATTAATCTAAAGAGAACGCGCGCGCACGCACACACAATTTAAATGGATTGCAAATAAAAAGGTGAAACAACAGCAGTAACAACGGTGAAAAATCACTAGCCAATGATAATACGTTGCGTGCTAATGGTTTATCTACTCGGTGGAGTTTCGTTGAAATGTCTCATTTAGAATCCAGATTTTTTTTTCAATAAGCTTCTTTTTGTTGATTTCAAACCCCCCCAGTCCAACACATATCATAATCAATGTGCCAGATTTGTTTTCGATTGTAGGCAAAACGTTGGTTTTGCGTGTGTATTAAATTTTAGTTATTATAGATGGTATTTCGTTTGGTGTCATTACGAGTGCTTTGCGGCTATATAGCAATTTCAAACACCGAATCAACTCGAATTAGCACAACGCACAACACACTATAAAATCACTAAACCATGTGCCGTCCAATAAAATACGAATATTATGGCATATTGCTGTTTATTTGTTTTTGTTGGCGTTGAATATTTTCAACATTGTTTCTATGGTGGATTTTCATTTTCGGTTGATGCAGATATTTTGTGATTCGAAAAATTTGAATTTCTTCGTTTTGATGGGACTTTTGCCATAAACATAAATTAGAAAATTCCCATTTGCGCAAAACATTAACTAAACTTTTCGTATCTCATCTTTTCCATTGCTCTTCTTTTACTTTTCTCGCTCTCTTTGTCTCTCGCACAGTTTTTTTTGTTTTCATTTTCTCATTTCATTCACTCGACACATGTGCACACAAATATTTAGTTTAGCTTCGATTTATGCTGGAGTAAATTCGTGTGCATTGACTTTTGTCTGATTTTCTATGGTTTTTGCTCTGAATAGGTTCAATACGCAAAACAAAAACATTTTCAGAACGCACGAGATGAAACTTGGGACAAAAAAAGGTGTAAATTATGTAATACCATGAAACGCACCAAAATTGATGGCGTGCAGAGATCCATCCGATGTATTCACAGAAATGAGCGATGAGAAAAGAGAATGGAGCGAAAGAGACCCATTTCGGTAAGCATCAAAATGCGAAAGACAACACATACTGCAGTAACAAATCCCAAAACGACAGACAGAAGTAGCAACAGCAACATCGAGTGTAGCGAGAATAGAAAAAAATAACCTGGCACATACCAATTCAAATTTACCTTTGAATTATTGATTCCTACGCCTTTTACGTTTCTAATATGTATAAGATTCGGACACAAACACATTCAGCATATGTCATATTTTCGTAATCTAAATTTTTTATTTCGTTTTCATGTGCCTTTCAAACATTTTCCACATACGTATGTACGTGTGAGCGTTGTGTTTGCGCGACGGTGCCATTTCCCGTTCTATTGTTGAGCGTTTTCCATATGTTATTTTGTTGGAATTTGCATGTAAAAGCCACGGCAAAAAAAAGAGAATAACAAGCATACACATGGTTAAAAGTTGCAAATCAAAGTCAATGTCTCAATTATGTGATACACAATGTGTGTAAGCAAGAGAAAGATAAAAAGAAAGAGTGAAAATCGACAAGGTGACATGGTTTTTGAACATTTTAATGTTAATTTGCTGGAAAATACTTGAAACTCCATGGTGTAACCTTGGGCTAATTTGACGAGACTATGTTGCAATAAAACGTTCACGTGAATTCATTGTTTGTATAAAAAAATATTTGTGAAGCATTAGAATTCGAAAGTGCAAAGAGAGAGAGAAAGAAAAAGAAAATAACATGCGACGAACCGCGACTCATACATCATTTTGAACTATTGCACATTTTCATTTGCACAGTATATTTCGTCTGACGGCAAAGAATCGTATAAATACAATGACAACAAAATGTTGGGTCATAAATACAGTGTACATGATACAGTAGCAAAATCGTGTAACCAAACGACACTAATGCTTGAAAGCATATAAATTGGACATGTTCATTCCGGTCGCTTCATTATCTGCGATAAATGATATGTATTTTATTTGTTTGTAAGACTAATCGTTCGCTATAAAAGCCCAAATGTGAACAAAGAAAAAAACTATGCAACCTTACGCCTGTTCGCTCTTCCATTCGCCACAATTTGGCAATGGTTTATGATCAAAATTTATCAATTTATCATTCCAAATTCTCATTTGATTCATTTTCTATGTCTTTCTTTGGCCACAAACAATAGACTCGTAGACATTTATCAATGTGCAAATAAACGAAGTAAAAATAAAATAAAATTAATAACACAATGATTACTAAGTGTCGTTTCCATATAATAAATATAAATTTTCTTATTACGATTTTGGGATGTATACCATTGAATTACTTCTTTTTTACGAACTACTTGGTGGGTGTTCTCGCCCATTAAAAGCAGCAAATGTGCTTTTTGCGCAACCGAGAGTGCTACCGCGCCGTGCTGTTTTGCTGGCTCTGCTAACAGAAAATTTATAGCAAACACGTTTCTATCGCAATTTCCAAATGGATCGTAAGCATTTTGTGTGTGTGAAGCATACATTATTTTCCATTTTTGTTTCAACGCGTAAAGTAAGTCGTACAAAGTTGTAGATTGTATACCACCAAAGTGAGAGAGCAATAGAACAGGCAATAACAAATACACACATTCACCACATCAGGCAACAATGAGAAAATTACGATTTTTCGATACTTATGAGATTAATTAAAAGAAAATCGCTTATTTTTTTGTACTTTTTCTTATTCTTCTTCTTCTTCTTCTTCTTATTATTATTATTTTTGTTGCATGAACGATAAATAAAAATGAAAAGAAAAAAAAAGCATTTTTGCGACTGATTCGTGCGTCTGGGCAGTGGTTTTTGCCATTACTGTGCCATTATTATTTTTTTTGGTTCGTGTGAAATAGATTTTCCATCATCATCCGATGAAAATGATGGCGCTAACTTTTCCATTCATGCATCACACAACATTTTATAGTCTACATCGGTATATTGTTATACATTTCAACAAATCGATGAATCATCACACAGCCGCTGTGCAACAATCTAAATGGTTATTTACTTGAGACGCATTCTCTGTCTGACTCCCTATCAAAATTAATGCAATTCACCACCAAATATAAAATCATTGATTTAGAATGTTTTCACATTGAATTATTTTATACTGACCACAATAACAAGACAACAACGTTACATTTCACCCTGGTGGCCAGGGCAAGCAATAAGCAAAATGACGGAAGAAACGTCAAGCGATAGCATCTCAACAATGTTGCGAAAACTCGTAGCTTAATTACCAAAGTTAGACTATCAACAGTATTATATTTCGCATCTTTATGTTGTAATTGAACTAAGGCAACAGACCTTAGCTATTGTGGTTGATGACGAACGGCTTTTGCTTATATTGAGTGTATGCCAACGTACGAAAGAGATCGACTGTGATAGATTGAAAGTAGAAAAGGGAGGAAAAGAATTTGTTGATGAACACGCAAAACTTTCGAACTGAATAAATGCTGCAAATATTTTGTTAAATCAAGAACGATGGTACGATGGGCATACACAGACACAACCATATATATCGAAACGATACACACAGGCGGCGATGAAATCAATTTTATGGGGACCAAAACAATCACCATTCGAAAGTGAGTGAAAAAGAATCTGACAGCAAATCCATTTAAAATGTCAGACACACGTCGAACTGATGATTACACAGTTTACGATGAGTGACATCAAGCAATGATGTGATCAAATAAATTACATAAAATTAGTACAACATAATAATAGTTGAGCTTGCAAGCAACGAATTGTGAAAAAGAGAGAGAGAGAGAGCGCAGTAAAATGCGATAATGCTGAAAATAAAGTTTGTTATGTGTGTGACGCATATACTGCGAGCACGAATATTATGATACTGCATTGTGGAGTATATATCGAATATCGTCATGCAATCCTTCGTTCCGGTAAAAATACAGAGAGAGAACACAAGAACGGAAACCATTCGAGAAATTTATCTCCACATGTGAATTGGAAAGTGTTTCTAACCATGGCCTTTCGCATGTACATATATAACGTTGAACGTTGCGACCTGATGGGTTCGTCATGCTTTTACAATACTTTTTTCACCGAAGCGTAAACGTGAGAAAGGTGCACATCTTTTTGCACGTGTTAAGTTCCGAACTTTGTGTGTTCAATAAGCTGAAACGCACACCCTTAGCTTCAATTTTGCTGCCAACACACATGCACATCAATGAATTCGAAAAGTTTGCCATTTTCTTTTCACTCTTTCGTTGGTTTCTTGGTTTGTTTTTTTTTTCTATATTTGCAGTCTCTTTGATTCTCCGTTGTCGCACCCTGTTATCTGTATAATGAATGTTCGATGTGCTTTTTATATAATTGCCGATATTGACGTGCACATTTTCGGTGGGTACGTGTTAAAG